ACAATGCATGGCTGCCTATACATAAAATTAATACTACAAAGGTCTAATTTGGTGTTTAAAAGAGTAAACAAAACAAAACTGGTTAGTAGGTTTCACGGAAAGATCCAATGGTTTCCTCCACTTCACAATTTCCAGAGGAAATTCAGCATAAAGCAAAGTGATTTGAAGATACCACAAAATATTACAAAGAATATTTACAATGTTCATTTCAGCTATTCCAAACAAAAAGATTAATCACATACCCACAGATATTATGGGCTTGCTTATAAAGAAAAAAATCTGTTATCCCCTTTCAAAACAATTTATAAAGCTAAATCCAATTATGGTTAGAATAAAAGGTATGTCAGACAACATTGTACAATGTAATTTTTAAAAGAGAAAAGCAGCATCTGCCAAATCTATATATTCATGTACTGAAATAGGGAAGTATAGGATTTTGATAACCTCTCTAGGAGATACGGATTCTTAGGATGCAGAACTAGGACGAGTTAATACTATGAAATATTAATGATCAATTTGTTAATAAGTATTGAATGATTAAATTCTATGTACTCAAATACTACTCGAGGCCCTGAGGATAAAGCAAACAAGGAGAAAAACAAAAATCTCTGCTGACATGGAGCTTACATTCTAGTGCTGACAGACAATAATTTAACAAGAAAAGTAACAGTTGGTGTTAAATATTCTGAAAATTAAAGGGTATATGTACATCTATTCTAGCCAGGCTAGCAAGGAAGTACCTCTTTAAGTGATATTTGAATTGAGTTCTTGCAGTTAAGAAAAAGCTAGCCATTTGAAAAATCAGGACAGTACAGAACAGTTACTTTAAAGTGGTAAAACAGAATGAAGAGTGAGTTTGGCCTTCTGAGAAACAGAATGAAGGCCAATGTCACCGGGACAGCATAAACTAATGGAGAATAAGTAGCAGATCTGGCAAATAATTGGCTATGGTAATGAGTTTTATGCTATGTGCCCAGGGAAAGCCACGGGAGAGTTCAAACAAGTTTATGATTTGACTTCTCTCTTAAAAAGAATCACTCTAATTATTGACTGAAGGACAAAGATCGAAACTGGGAACCTTGGTAGAAGCTTAACTGCAGTGGTTATGGTAAAAAGAACAAAAGTGTATATACCACTGGAGGAGAAGACAAGGGAAGATTCAGTGTATCTTTTGGAGACAGAGACAATAAAAATGACTGATGAGATGTGAGAAGTGAAGGAAATAAATCAAGAAACTACTAAGCCTTTGTGAAATTTGGTAGTTGATGGTTTAAAGTATTGAATGGGGAAATCTGGAGAATACATAGGTTTGGGAAATAATGCAGAAGTTGGGTCTTGGTTTACATTTGACATTCCTATTAAATAACTAAGTAAAGACTTTAATGGCAAAGCTGCTTTTTTGTAGTTCTGGTAAACCTGAAGACTTGAGAGTTAACAGACACATGACAATAACATATAAACAAAGGGTTTATAAATTATGAGCCTCTTTAAATCAATCAAGGGGTGTTCTTTTTAAGAGATGAGATGTTTACCTTTGATAATTAGAAAAATTATTATGAGACATATAACAGTGCAGATTCTGGTTTCACATTGCTTACTGATGAATGTCTGCTTTCTCATTCATCAAGTAAGTAATACTGGGCAAATCATTTAACCTCTCCGTGCCTGAATTTCCTCATATATAAAATAGCAAATACAATTCCACAATATAATTTTGAAGATTAAAGAGCTAGTACATGTAAGGTAATCAAAACAGTATCTGGCACATAGTAGGCCAGTGATGGAGAACTTTTTAGCAGTTTTAGTAATAACAAACAGCTCACTGTGGCACATGTGCCACAGGTTTGCCACCACTGTAGTAAATACTCAACATAAGGATGGTTGGTATTATTACCTACTCTCTCCTGGCACTGTACATGGAAGTGTCTTAACACTTCAGTATTCTAGTTAGATGCTTAAGAGGTGGTAGCAAAAACTCATAATGATGGTGGTATCATGGCACATACCTGTAATCTCAGCATTCAGGAGGCTGAGGCAGGAGGATCATAACAAGTTTGAAGCCAGCCCAAACTATATAGTAAGATCCGTTCTCAAACAAAACAAAACAAAACAAAATAAAACAAAACCAAATGAACAGCCTCATAATGTGCTAGGAAGCATACAGTAAACTTTCCTCAAAAGGCTTGGAGGCTGAGAAGTACAGAATGCTAAGAACAACCTCTTTTAAGGTAAGTTGAGTGCAAGTTATCCTAAATTTGATCCTTCAGTCCTGACTCAATACTAGGGCTCCACACTCACATACTCAGTTGTACTAGATTCTACTTGGTAATTTAATAGGCATATCATTGGAATACAAGGGGAAAGCCATTAGTATTCTCTTCAGTACATGATCAAGTGATTACTTCTAACTAAACTCTGTTGGCTTTGCTTCCCTCCGTAAGTTACAAAACCCATGTTGTAAGTGAGTTTTCAGGTTCACATTGAGAAAGTACCCAAACTAGTCAACTACATTAAAATCTCAGGCATTGGATCTAATCACTTCACCATTAATGTTTTGAAATCATTATTCTACCTTATGTATTGCTAACTATAGGTCACTTCAGATAGTTTCTTAAGCTAGGCAGAAAATAAGGAAATAAGTAACATAAGTAGTAAATGACCCTTAAATAATTCTGAGCTCTGATGTGTAAAACAGATTGGGCTGCACACTCCCCAGTACTGGCAAATCTCAGCTACCTTATTCTGTGCCAGTCACCATCAATAATGTCACAAACATGGTGACTAGTCATTCCAGGTCAATAAGAACATTCCTAGCAAAAATTCTTACAGCTTTCCATTCTTAAAAGTGACTAGATTAGATGAAAAAGTATTTGTCTACCTACATACATTATCATCAAGAGCTTGTGTAGAAGCTAGCATGTGTGCATGCACTCATTCATTCATTCCACTAATATCTACCAAACACCAATTAAACATGAGTAGGCTCTTGTGCAATGTAGAACCCCAATACAAAAATGACATCTTCAAAGAGCCATAAAACCTTAAAGTATATACCAGATCTAAGAAAATTTGAGAATAGCCAAAAACACCACAGTTCCTTAGATGGCCAGATAGTAATAGCTAGATGTTACACAGGTGTTACAAAGCAGACATAACCGAGAAATATTTTTTGACTGCGTGACAAAAATGCTCCACTGATAATTGTGAACTGTGAACAAGTGACAGGAAAAGATGTTTATTTTTACAGGCAAGCTGCATAATGTCCAATAGGAACAAAAGGATCATTATAACTATCTTTTTTTCTGAAATAAGGCTCTATTTCTCCTTTAACTTTCAAAAATTAATTAAAATATTTTAGGCTGATTGTTCCCCATTAGCTAGGAAAAATTAAGAAATCTGTAATCTTAGTACTCTGGGAAGCTGATGAAGGGGGGTTGTAAATTCAAATCCAGCCTGGGAAATGTAGTAAGTAGAGAGATCCCATCTCAAAATAAAAAAATAAAGGGTTAGAAATGTCGCTCAGTGTGAAGGCCCTGGATTTAATGGCCACTATTGGAAAAAAAGTCTGATTTGTTCAGCTATGATTTCTTCCAAATTGAAGAGGCTACACAAGTTATAGCAAAATCACTAGTGAGTCATTAAACAGATGTCAAAGAAATTCATATGCTTAACCCTCAAAAATCATAGAAGCTAAGCCAGGTGTGGTGGTGCATGCCTGTAATCCCAGCACTCAGGAGGCTGAGGCAGGAGAATTGCTGTGAGTTCAAGACCAGCCTGGGCTACATAAGTGAGTTCCAGGTCATTCTCAACTACATAGTGAGACCCTGTCTCAAACAAACAAACAAAACAAAAAAACAAAACAAACACCCCCCCCCCATAGAAGCTACTGAGAAGAGAAACAGACCTTGAAGAATGATTTGAGAAAGTAATAACGGCATATTAAGCACTATGGGACTTTAAAAGTTCAAGGCCAATCTGGGGCAGGGAATTACTGCTACTTTGTTCATGGATAAAGTGCCTACTGCATGCAGTATCGGTACACACAGGACAGCATAGTAAAAATTAGTCAAACTGTGTTACATATATTCTAGTCTTATTGCTATCATGTGAACTTCTCAACTTGCTAAACATGTTGAGGTCATGTTTATCTTTTAAGTAGGTGACTTCAAATGGATGAGCATTCTGACTCAAATATTGTCTTCCAAATTACATGATAACATTAAGAAAAACAACAGGTTATATTTATTGTATACATAGCATTGTGAAGACGCCTGTAATTCTTTTTTCTTTCTTTTTTAGACAAGGGTCTCCCTAATGTAGCCCAGGCGGGACTCCAACTCGTGATGATCCTACCTAAGCCTTCCAGGTGTCAGGATTAAAAACGTGCACCACCACCCGGCGTGGTGGCACACGCCTGTAATTCCAGCACTCGGGAGACAGAGGCAGGAAGATTGACAGGAGTTCGAGGTCAGCCTGGGCCACATAGTGAGTTCAGGGCCAGCCTAAACTACAAAGTGAGGCCCTGCCTCAAAAAGCAAAACAAAACAAAAACAAACACACATCACCACGCCCGACTAAGGCGTCTAACTTGTATTATCGTCATTTAATCTTCGTAACAATTTAATTAAAAAGATATTACTATCCTTATTTGGCAGATGAGGAAAAGCAGAAACTATTAGAAAGCCAGAGGGAGTCGTGATTTGAACTGAAGCACACTGCACCTAGTTCTAGGCTAGCCTTAACTACTATGTAAGATTACTTCTCTTCAGGAAAACTGACTCGTCCAATCTGGGCGGGGGAGGAAAAGGAAAACAGTTTGTAAAAAGAATCCTTCCTGACTGGCAGGCAGATCTGAATTCGTCGGTTTCTCGTCTTTAGGTCTTTCGCATCACTTCCCACAGCTGCGCGCACCACCGCCCGGCCGGCCGAAGAGACTGACAGAGCGGGCCGGGCTGTGGGCACCGAAGGGCTCTGAGAGAAGGAACGCAGGCAGAGGGTACCTGGGCTGCTGGCTGCTCCTGCCGGCTGACTCTTCCACCACTCGTCTCCAAGATCGTCTGCCATCTTCTCACAAGTCTTGAAGTGAGCGGACCAGGGCAAAGCGGCGCGGAGAGTGAAACCTCGCTGCCTGGGAGCCCGCGACCAGCGTAGCCGCGCGCAGAGACCGGCCGGACTAGGTAGCCTCAGCCGGCCGGATGACGTTACACCCCGCCCGCCTCTCCAGCAGCCGGTTCACAAGTGTCGCAGTTTCGACACAGGCGCTGCAGGGCAGGATCAATCTGAAAACACAGAATAAATCCTCCCAAGGCGTACCGAAGAGAGTACACGTAAAAAAATCGTACTATCTTTTTGGATGAGGTCTTTCAATATTTTTAAGTTTCATTTTGCGCAAAGATTGTCGAAAGTGTGAGACACGATGCCAACAGGATTTTTCTCTGTTCGATTTTCAAAGACGTTGAGCCGCGGGAAAAGGTCCCAGCACGTGTATGTATTTTTACTTGTCAGTGTGTAGTTTAGGTATTTGTGCAGTTTTGTGTTTGTATAGAGAACGTTAATGTATTTATACAGTTTGCCGTCAGAAAAGTGCAGGACAGTTCCTAACCATGTATGTCGGACTTTTGCTGTAGCTGTGGATATTCTCTTTTTGTACCACATGAGTGAAGAAAAATGTGGTTAATTAGGAAAGGCTCGTCCCTGGAAAGACGCACGCGGCTCAGAGATTTCAGAGTCGCCTCCCTCGTACCCTTTTGCTGTGGCCTACCACATCCCTCTTTTGTGAAACTAGAGCAGGGGTGTTCATTGCTCCCTTACTGTAGGTAGAGACCTAGTGCTTGTCTCAAAACAACTTGAAGTGGCAGGGCTGGAGGAGGAAAACCTACTGGGCGCCGAGTGCTTGGGTCAGCTGTAAGATAATTGTGGACCATGTTTTTCAGGACGGGTTTCATACACAGGTATAAATCATTCAAAATGCATGAAATGCTTGCAGTGTATCTAGCATGTGTAGAGAAGAGTGGCTTACAGATGGGTAGAATATGTTTCCACCTTCCAGGTGTCATGCAAGTAGCGGAGAAAGAATTTGTAAGAATGAAGGTCTACACTTTCAAAATGATACATCCTCAGAAATAAAAAGACACCCATAATATTGGGGATAGGAGTAGCTATATGTAGAAAATTACCCAAAGCCCACCCAGCTAATAAATAGTTTACAAGCGCATTACTAATTAGAGTCTATCAGCATACTTTACTCTAAAAGGGAGGATATTAGGTATAAATATGGCAAATGTAAAATAATCTGTGGTACTTGAAAGTAGTGTGTCTTTCAGAAGGAAATGCAGAGAAGGTTTTGATAGTTGATAGATTATTGAAAAGCAAAGCTAATGGTCTGGGGATTTGGCTCAGTGGTTCCTTGCAAACTTAAGGGCCCGAGTTCGATCACCGGTACCACAAAACCAAAACCAAAACCAAAACCAAAACAGTAAAGCGAAGGAAAGAAAAAAAAGAAAAAAAAAAGGAAAGCAAATCTATGTTAAGAAATACCAGTTTGGAAGAGAAGGTGCTATAGCTAATATATATGAAAAGTCCTCAGTCTCATTAATCTGGAGAATACAAAAAAGAAAAGGCCAACGAGATGCTATTATTTGTGCAGTACATGACAAAATTAAAAAATCTGACAATTCTAAATTATGGGAGACATGTATCAGTAAGAATTCTTGCACATTGACATGAATATAAGTTAATATAACCACTTGGAAAAGCTATTTGGCACAGTCTTAAAAGGTGAACATTCACATTTCATGATCCAGCAATTTCATGCCTAAATATATACTAGGAAATTTCTGTATGTGTACCAGGAAGCTGTAAAAGAATATTAACAGCATCACTGTAAATTATAGCAAAACATTGGAAGCAACCCAAATGTACTTCTATGAGAAAGCAGGTAACTTTATTCACACAAATAAGCAGCACACATGAACATACATAATCCCATAGATGTACTGTATCTTGGAAACATGGTGTTGACTTTTAAAAAGCCAAGTCTCAGATGCCATTTTTGCAAAGGTGAAATACAAGGACATCTTAAAAATACATTTTAAAAAATAATTAAGAAAATAATAAGTACAAATTTAGGATATGAGTTACTGGGGAGGCAATATTCAGGGAGATGAAATTAGAAAGACAAATATAAATTACTGGCAAAGATCCAATTCAGGGTAAAGCCGAGAGTTCACAAGTACACAGATACACATGCTTTATAACCTACAAGTATGTTACATATATTCTTGTGATATCTCCTTATGCAATAAAATAAAATTTTACTAGAGTTACATTAGATGTTGTTTGCCAATAAATAAGTTAATTTTCACTATGAATTTCACTTTATAACCTTGCATCTCATAGTATACTCGAAGCTGCCAGACAGGCCTACTACATTTCCCATGTCTTCACTTTCTCACTGTTCTGATCTTATCACAGAGTCAGTCTTCTTGTGTCCTGCGTTCCTACTTCTTTTACTTCCTAGATGCCTTCACTTCAGTATCAAAAAGTGGCAGCATCATTCAGTTTGTTGCATATTCATGTAATTCACCACTCAATCTGGTTGGATCTAACTTTAAAATATATCTCAAATCTAATTTGAACAGCCTCACTACATCCATCACTAGAATCTTGGTCTGAGATACTGTGAATGCATCTCTCTTCTGGGCCTTTCTAATGTATAGCCTTAAAAATTTTTTTTGCTGTATCAGGGATTGAACTCAGGACCCTGTACTTATAAGGCAGGTGCGGTGCCACTGAGCTAAATCCCCTGCCCTACTGTATAGCCTTTTAATCAATCTTGTTTGTTCTACCTCAGCCTTGCTTGTACATAGCACTCAGAATCATTATAACACTTCCCTGTCTAAAATATTTTAATCACTTCTGATCATACTCCAAGACCCCTATCACCTCTTTGGTAACCAAGATTGTATCTTTCACAGCACTGTAGCCACAGGAATAACCACAGGCAAACTATGTTAATAGCCTGACTAAATTCAAATGCTCTTTACTTTGTTTTGCTCACCTAGCAACTGTCTGGTTAAATTTATTTTCCAAGTCAGCTTTCCTTCTGATAATAGATGTCAGAGGTCAGCAAACTAAATAGTGTGTGATCTGTTTGTACTAGAAGTTAGGAATGGTTTTTACATATCTAAGTCATAGAAAGCAGAACAAATTAAGCAAAACAAAAAAATGAAACATGTAACAGAGACTGTGTGGCCTTCTTAGGTTTACTATCTGGTCTTTTATAGAAAAAAATTAATAAATTATATTAAGAAGCCAAACTAAATTGTAACATCATTTTTCTACTATCAATGAATTGGCATCTTAATATGTAAATTATTGTTTTGTAAAATACCACATCCCAGTATCTGATTATCTCATCTAACATAGGGAAGCTCACACTGAAAAAAACTAATGAGTCTTTATCTACTCCCTCTTCCTGTAGAATGTCTGCATCAGTAGTGTTAGAGTTTAGAGGAGGAAGCATTCACTTCCCAAAGGCATGAACTGGACAGCCTTCATAAAAGGTGTGGCACTTGAACTTGACCTTATCAATGAATGTATGTAGGAAAAAGGGATAGGATGAATAGCAGTTTCCTGGCATGTTGCATTGGACAAGTTATTTTACCTTGCTGGACTTCATTTTGTCATTCTGTAAAATAAAAGGAATAAATAAAATGACTCATTAGATTTCTTCTAATTTCATGTTTTAATGTTGAGTATCAGACCAAGAACTCTTGATAGTTTTTTTTTCTCTCTTTTTCTTTGGTACTGGGGAGATAGTTTTTTTTTTTTTTATTAGAGCTAAAGGATATGATAGGAATATTGTTTAAGTCAAGCTAATATTACCATGCAGGGTAGACAATAGATTTGCGCAAAACTTCCCATGTGACATGGATAAGCCAAGATTCTAATCCACTCAGTCATTGGGACAAGAAGTGACCCTGCCCAGTTGCCTTTGGTTAAATGTAGCTATTATGGCTTGTATCTAGATATCCCTGGAAACCTCATGCAGTCATAGATGGCTTTTTCAGAGGTGCCTGGATTTAGTGTGTGATGCTGGGATTAAGAGTGTGTGATTACTAAATCAGCACACTGACTGGCTTGGTATAGTTCTGGGTGTAAATAATGGAAAGACCCACCTTGGGTATGGGTGGCACCATCCAAATGGCTGGATGAGATAAAAGGAAGAGTCAGGCTGCTGCTTGTTGCTGCTGCAGATGCTGCTGCTGCTGCTTGCTGCCTCCTGCCTGCTTTGTCATGAATGGATTGTCCTCTGCTAGTACCCTCTGCCATGCTACGGTGCCTTAGAACCAGCTATCTATGGACTGAAACCTCTATAAAATGAGCCGAAATAAATCTCTTTTCCTCCTTTATTTTGGGTATTTGGTTTCAGCAACAGAAAAGTAACTAAGACTGTAGCTTTATCTCTTCACACTAGTATTATATACACATGTCAGTATTTTCTGTGGACCCTATATTGAAAAGGTTAGTGAGTACCTCATTAGTGGGAAGGAGAAAAGGTTTGAAGGCTGTTTCTTGAAGGCACACCATACAATTAAAAGGGTTTTATGTTAGTCACTTTTCCATCACTATGACAAAATGCCTGAAAAAAATATTTTAAAAGTCTCTGTTGCGTATTTTTGTTGACTTTTGAGGTGGTGGGAATTGAACCAAGGGCTTCATACATGCTAGGTAAGGATTCTATCACTGAGCTATATCCCCAGCCAATGTTACATATTTTTAATCTCTCTGGATTGACAGTTTGTGGTGGTTAAGCTTAATTGTGTCAATTGATTGGTTTGTGAACTGCCTAGGGCACTACCTATGGCACTCTTGCCACAGTGGCTGTTTATATCATTGACATCTCTAAGAGGTTTCCCATCACTGGTTTAAAAGATAAGTAAAGCACACTTTAGGATGTGTTTGGGTGGGTCCTTGAGGCGTGACTTTAGATACTATATGTGGTCCCTGACTCCTTCCCCTCTGGCACTGTTCCTCTGCTCTACTTCCCAGCTGCCATTAAATAAGCATCTTTGCTCTGTCATGCCCTTCTCCTTTTTTTTTTTGCCTTGGAGACAGCTGACTATGGACTGAATCCCCTGAAATATGAGCCAAATTAAACTTCTTTTTTTTTTTTTTTTAAAGTTGTAGGTGTTGGGTATTGTGTGTCAGT